GGACTCCAGGATCATGACCTGAGCTGAAGGCAGTTGCTTAACCAACTGAGCCACCCAGGCGCCCCTCCACTAGATTCTCAGAACACTGGTAGCCAGGCCACTACCTGGAGGCCAAAGATTGAGAGTGTCTTCTGAAGAATCTGATCAGCCCAAGAGGGAAGATCTACAGATACTGACAGAATTTGACAAAAATAGGTTTAGCCAGACCATCCTACAATGATGCTCTTGGTTGACAAAGCCCACCCATACACAGCTCAGAGCCTCCACTAAGCTTTTTTAGTCTCCTACTCATAACCATGAGCTGACAATCAAAGATACAGACATCTGAGGAAAGCCTCTAAGGGGAAAATTGATGACGTCTATGAGTTCTCCTAAATGACTGTGTGTGTGTGTGTGTGTGTGTGTGTGTGTGTCTATGTGTAAAGGTCAAGGAAATGCCAAGTCATGTGGCTCTTTCACCTATATGGAGTATGACTGTGCAGGATCTGCCCACAAAACAAAACCTCAGCTGGGCACAGAGATCCAGTAAACCCCTCAGCTGAGTGGCTCTCAGGGCAGTAGGGGCACCAGGTCTCATCTTGGCCAAGAGAAGCCTTTGCTCTTTAGATCATAAGGGGGAAATGAGGGTAGCTGTGTCACCATCCCAGCACCTTGCTGTCCACTATGAGGAAGTCCCTTCTAGTCTCTGACTTTGCTGGGTGTCCCACCCCTGTGACCCAGCTGCCTTTTTACACCAGCTGCTTGCAGAGATCTATTGGTTTACAACTAACCTGGCATTCATTCTGCCCTCAGCTGAGGACAAGGGAGATCCAGAGGTAGGTCTTAATCAGGAATTCCACAGATCTAACCCAATAAGGGATTGAATGAGATAAGACAAAGTAAACCCCAAGAAGCAGAGGAACCCAGGGACTGAACCAAGATCAGGAAAAAGGTCAGGGTAGGATAAGAAAAGTGAGTGTCAGAGTCAAGGGTGATATTGGTGTCAAGATCAGAGCCACAGTAGAATCAGGGTCAGGTTGGAGTCAGGGAATTAGATTTTTTTTTAAATCCTCTCATTTATTTCTTTTTTCTTTTTTTTTTTTAAGATTTTATTTATTTATTTGACACAGAGAGAGAGAGTGAGCACAAGCAGGGAGAGCTGCAGGCAGAGGGGGAGGGAGAAGCAGGCTCCCCGCTGAGCCCACACGGGGCTCGATCCCAGGACTCTGGGACCATGACCTGAGCCAAAGGCAGACGCCCAATGACTGAGCCACCCAGGCACCCTCAGGAATGAGATTTTAAATTAGGTGTCCCTCCAGCCCCATCCTTCATCTCCTTCAAGGTGCCAAATTCCCAGAGAGCACTCCCTTCCAAAACACCTGCATAAGGCAGCTGGCTCCCAGGGCAGCCAGGCTTTCCTGAGGCTCCAGGTTATACCAGGGGACTGTTGGTCTGTTTGGGGAGACCCAGGCCCTGCTCCCAGATAGCACACAGTCTGCAAGGAAACAGGAACACCCAGCTCTGCCCTTAAAGAGCTCCCAGTCAAGGAAAGGACAGAAATGAGAACATCAGAAAAGCACTCTGAGGACAAATGCCTGGCTCCAAGCCCTAGCCTTGGATAGAAAGAAAGGAAGAAAGTGTGATTCAAACAAAAAACTATGCAGAGGGGGTCAAGACTGGCATGGGGATCCCTCTGGCATAGGGAGGACACCCAATTGGGCTGACTTTCTCAATAGGGACTGGATCTGAGTCCAGCAGGACACCAAAGCTGGGGCCTTTATGCACTTAGTCATTTCCTCTCCTCTCCTCTCCCCTTGCCCAGGGCCTGACTCAGACCATGCAGCACCACGTGGATCCTGAAGCCCTGCAGAAGATGGTCAAATGTGCCATGCAGGACTACAGCTATAAGGGTTCCATACCAGGCCACCCCTACTTTCCTGAGAAATACTGGCTCTGTCAAGAGGAAGGTAGGACCTCACCCCTTACCTACCCAACAATGACCCCACTCAGAGACTTCAACAATGACCCTTAACCTGAGCCCAACTTGAGTCCTGACCTCCACTCTGATCCCATATCAACTTTATCCCCACCCATAATCTGGGCTTCTCCAATCATCTCCAGTCCAGCTTGACTCCCAACCACCTGACCTGACCCTAACCCTGACCCTGAAGGAGGAGATCCAGGCCCTGCCTTTTGGGAGTTTCCTATTTGTGCCACAGAACTGGAAGAGGCCTGGGTCCTATCCCTAAAGAGATGGAGGGAGTATTAACCTCTTCCAAACAAATCCCTCCAGGTATATTCCAGGGGCATCTTTTCCCATCTTCTTAGCGACCCTGTTCCATCAGTTCTCCATCTCTCCTGCATCTCTCTGCCCCACCACACCTCTTTCCCCTTGACCTGGAAGCCTTTTCTAACCCCTTCCTGCCTAAAAATTCTCTCTTGCTCCTCCCCTTCACAGCCAAGATTCTTAGAAACATAGTCTATACTCACAGTCTCTACTTCCTCACTCCTTGTTACACCTTATGAGAAATTATCTTTCCCATCCGGTTAGGTGTTTGTGATGTTCTCACTGTACATTCCAAAAGAGCAGAGTCTTTTCTTTTCTTTTTTTTTTTAAAGATTTTATTTATTT